CACTTAGGGAAAGGTGAGAACCTGATCCTGGGGCAGCTATAGGATCTGTCCTTAAAACAATTAGCTCTCAGAAATCAGAGGCTGAGCCATGCTATCAGGGTTCAATTGAAACACTCTTCCCAGATTCCAAACATAGGACTTCTCACCGCAGTACAGATCACTGACCTCAGTGCAGTGGTTCTCCCCTTCACCCTGTTTCTCAGGGGGTTACTACATTCTGCAAGCTTTGCTGTGCACATACAGCTCAAACTGCTGTTAATGATTCCTTTTCCTTCAGCCTCCCACTTCTCATGTAATTGCTCAGTAATTTTCCTTAACGTACGTATTTGCAAACTCTTCTCTAATCTTCTAGTAACTCCCTAGCTTACAGTAACTTTTTACAAGGGATTCCAGCTCACTAACTACTCTGAAATATCAAAGATAAGGGACATAGAAAAGCATTTACATATTCAGATTATCCAAATAATTTCTTACCTGAGTGGGATCTGGGAGTATCAAATCACAGCTTCTAGGTAAATGTGAAGAAATGTTTTCCCCGAAGAGCGGTTAGTGGAGCTCAACCTCCCAGATTCCAGATCAACAGAAATTACATGCCCCAGTAAGGGGCCAACTTCCCATCTATAAGGTGTACAAGATCCTCAAATGCCAAGTGCTTGAGGGAATTTGCGTAGATCATATCTGAACTAGACAATAGTAATATTTTCGTAATTACAGCTCTTTAATCCATGAAGCTGATAAATCTAAACCAGTGCACCTGTGGAGCTTTAAGATTCAGATGCCACTCCCTTCTTTAGGGATAACATGCAGAGACTTGTACTTGCTGCTTTAAGCAACACCAAAGACAATGTTGTTAAAAGCAAGCCCTACCCAAACTTACTAAAACCAATCTTACGAAGGTTTAAACCATGAAACTATATGCAGGCTAGATAGAGATGTTACAAGATCAAGAGCATTAGACTCTTGCACAAACAAGAAAACACAGTTGTCATTAATATCCATCATGTCCAAAGCCTGATTCTGTAGGGATTCTGAACAATTTAGGATCTTATTATGCCGTAAGAGATAAACCTAATTATTTGACACAGGCATTCTGCATGAGTTTAACCAGAGTAACGCAGCATCTCAGTTCTGTATCTGCACAGTAAGGATAACAGAACTACCCTGCCTGAGAGAAGCCTCGTGTGTTCTCAATTATGAGAGAATGGTGAATCAACACCTTTACAATAAAAAGCAGAAAGAGCAATATATCAACTGCCTAACCATCACTGGACCTGGACAACTATGAGGTTTTAAAAATATACCTAATCCTACTCTAAGAAATGGTTTGAAACCTCTTCAGTTGGGACATTTCTACAACTCTGGTCTCGATTTTCATTAAACAAACTGTGGATAACAAACCTACGTTGGTCAAGAGATGAAATGGAGGTTTCATTAGCTTTTCCCTCATCTCTACTTTTATTTAATTCCATACAATCTCTCGGGATTACTGTTATGAGATGGACCTACCACACAAAACTGTTTCAAGGGTAACTGATATGTCAGCATAGGACTTTGTGTTCTCAAAACACTATGTGAGTGCCAAGTATTAATAATAAACTGCAGAAAGCAAGCTTATTCCTACTTTCCACCGAAGAAATTAGTACTGAATTTTAAAAAGCATATGGATCCACTGGAAATAGAATGTATATGGTTTAGAATTAAGGAGGAGATGCTAAATGATAAAAATGCAAAACCAAAGTATTTCCAGAATCATTGCATTTTTCTCCTAGGGGAGTGCAATTCTAGTTGAAGAATTCTGTTTTTACCACAGTCCTGGTTTTACACTCTCTTTTTCAGCTGACTTGAATGAAGTGCAGACCATTAATATCTGAAGTGCCTTGTTTTGATTATACTGGCCTTTGTTGGTACCAATCTAGCAAAGGTAGCATTAAGAATTTCCAGCATAAAACACACTTACAGGTTTATAACTTGGCTTTAAAGATTCTACTCCAAAAGCCAGTGGGAGGCAGAGAGGCTCAGATGAGTGAATTATATTACATACCCTCTGTGATGTGTACTTGCTCACAATGGTATGCAAACAGGAAGAACTAGCTTTAATTCTGAATTTCCATGTTTCACAAGCCACCCAAAATGATTCTTTTAACTTCCCTATTTCTGTAATCAAAATAATGTTTTGTGTTTCAAGCTAATTAGGTTCTTCTGCCCAATTTCAGTTTGGCTTAAATCATAGGTGTCAATACAATGTAGGAATTGGAATGTCATGTCTATTAATCATATTTATACACAAACACTGTCCCCCTCCCACTCCTCAGAAGTCAATTGCAGCTTGTCTTCAAAGGGTCAGCATCTAGGTGATGGGATGTTACAGACTGCTAGCAGCACAACACTGCCATTCGAAGAAAGGCTTAAATGAAGATCGAGGCTTAATAAATGAACTGCAGGTATTTGCCTTTTCGTAAAAGATGAACTCGCAGGAAACAGCTGGATTAACGAGAGCTTTGCAGGTTACTTAAAATGCAGTTCTTAGAGCAACATGTATTTCTGGCCATTGGCATTCTATTTCCTCTAGCCCACATAGGAATACAACACACTGCAGCACAGCAACATTAAACATAAAAACCTAGTAATGGCATCAGTGTGGGCGACCCATGCTCAGGTAGTGCTCAATGATTATCTCCAGTTTAAGTAGGCTGAAAATATTCAAATCGAGCCAGCACTGTTTTTAGGTAAAATTGGCAGGTTTATGGATATTTATAGTATGTGTCCAGTCTTGCAGAACTCCATTTTCTTCCATCTCATCTGTAATACAAACTGCTTTTAGCCCACATTAATACAATGTGTTACTGGGATACTTCTCACACCCTGTATGTCAGGCAGCAGCAGATCAATACTCAGCTATGCTGAGGAAAAAAATCATTATGTTAGGGTCCTGTTTAAAAACACAGACATCAGGAGGATAAACCTGATGCACAGACAGCATTCCATCAGGATGCATGTGTAGATTACTGCCTTTAAATACATCAAAAGTGTCTTTCTTTCCAACATGCAGTTTTAAAGAATCCTACAGGTAGGACCTTTGGTATATATCCCGCAGCAAATCAGTCTCACATCAGAAAAAAAATGTAACTTCCCTGTTCTCAGGAGAGCCCTCTTGATCAAAAGTTTCCACCCTTTGCATCAATCCCCTTACTCATCTACTTCCTGTGGTGAAATCACAGCACTGAAATTGGATTAGCAAAGCTATTTCCATGACAGCACTTGCTGGTGACACAGCTCGGGTTTATAACTTTTCCTTGGATCAAGGAGTAAGAAGATTTAAGCTAAAGACTTTAGAACCAAAACTAAAAATTAAAAGTAAAGCAGCCACAAGGAAAAGGATGAGTACGAGTTCTCTTATTTGAGGTTGCCTGATGTGGAAGTCTCCATGGAAAATTCACTGAATTTAGCATTTTGGGTTTGGTTTGGTGTGTGCCCTCCCCCACCCCCCCCAGTATTTTTCAGTGTTAAAAAAACACATCCCACCTGCATCAGAGCATTGGTAATAACAGAACAGCTACATAATGCTCTTCCTATTGTTCTCCCAACCTACCACATAAGAAACAGAAACTGATACCATGCCCTACAGGTCAACAAACTTGAGCTCTGTGAGACGGTAACTGCAGAGTTGAGACCCCTTTGAGACATCTTGCCTCCAGCTCAACAAAGTTTAAATCAAGAAAACATCTGTTTCAATGTCCCAGCTGACCCTCACTAGCGTGGACTTGGAAAGAGAGAGAAATGGTCTCTCACAGAGAAGCTTCAAAGCATGCTTCCTTCACCTTTGCAACACATCACTCATCCAAAGAAATTGTTTGCAGACATAACACAGGACCCAATGCCTATCATCCAGTAGATATTCACTCTCTTCCCAGTTCCACCCAAGTCAATGTAAGTTGACAACAGTAAGCAACTTGCACAAACAAGTTACTACTTACTACATATAAGACAGTGAGACACAACTGGAGATTATCAAAGGCATCCTCTTAGCACTTGCAATGAAACTCTCATGTTTTAAGGAGTTTTGCTGCTGCAGTTTTCCATTCACTCCCACCCCACTCAAGCAAGTTGGCTCTTTGTTTCTGTTGGGCTCTTGGTACCACAGATGCCTTCACCACCATGTTTCGTCATTTCACAACTCCAGTTGCCACGACAACAGGATGCAGCTTATCTCTGCTGTTTTCATACTTCCAGGTTTTGTTGCCATAACAACACAATCATTCTGGCTTTCTACAAAAACAGCAACTTTAAGTCACATATTCTCAAGGCCTCAGGATTCATCATACATGTATCTTCACGACAGAAGAGATTTGTACAGGCAATTTGTAAATTAAGCTATTTTTTCTGAAGGGGGATTTTTCACTCACAAAAGTGAAAAGCTGACAGCAATTGCTGGAGGCAGACTGCTGAGACATCGAAAGCCTGGCCTTTAATAATAGCCAGAGTAATATAGCACTAGGCGACTTCTGAGTGGGGACTCCCCACAGTGTCAGACTATGTCAAACTGCACAATTGTTATGTGATGTGAGTAAGTGTCCATACTTGTTTCACCCAGGCAGTTCTGAATTAGACACTAGATGCAATTCTCTTGAGTTTTAACCCAGTGGCCTCCCCATTATTACCAGCACCACCATCACCACGCAGCTTTGTGTACGAAAGCCCATTTTAATTCTGCAATTCAAGCTGCTGTTGCAGATTTGTTTTCAGACTCTGACCCTTTCCATTTTCAAGTGACTGCATTTTGAACTTTTTATTTACAGGTAGTGCACATTCATATGACTGGTGAGAAAATGTTATACAAACACAGCATGCATAAACACAGAACAGTGATGGCTATGAGTGGTATCAGCTAGCATGGCACCATAACTTCATTACACCCTCATTTATGTACTTCACTAATGAGACAAGCACAGGTGTCCAACACGGTCCCTCACATGAGATGAATAACAATAATACAGTCCAACCTGCTTTAGCCATGCTTGGTATCCAGAAGATATAAGTTGGAATCCATCTTTTGGCATGTGTATTCGGGGCTAGGAGAGAATAGACATAAAGAGAGAGCTCCTTTTACACTGGGACCTAACTAACCTAAATCTAAAGTCTGGAGCATTTTAAACAATGCAGATTTTTAAGCCATGTACGAAGGTTTCATCCCCAGATTACTTCTTGTTTTCTCCTCTGGTATCAGCTGCTTTAAGAACACTTTTTTTAATAAAGCCACCACCATTTTTACGATTTCCACCATTTTACATTTAAACTCTCTATATACAAGAATTTTTAAGATTTCCACACAAATGCACTTGGATAAGCACAGCCTCTGTGGTGGGTGCAGTAGCAAAGACTAATGGTCATTAATGCTTTTGCCACTACATAAAGCTAAATGGTGTCAAAACAGCAGTAGCCAAGCTATGAGTGTTTTCACAGTCACCATCCTCAACACAGCAGACCAGACATTGGACAACATGAAAAGATTAAGGAAAATCCCTGCAGAGGTGCAGCCTTAATACTGTGGTAACAGGAAGCTACATTTACACACAGCCGTAAATTATGCTTCAAACTGATAGACAAATATCATTTCCTCCCCATTTACTGTTTTCATGCTTTATCGGGTTGAAGAAAAGGCAAGACATCCAAATGCTCTGGAAGCACATAACACACATAGCATAACTTACAGCTAGAAAAAAGCATGGAACAAAAAAAATGAAACACTGCCATTCACAAATGACATTCGTTTGCAGTTCAAAGATATTCTCTCAGTCAAGTGGATTCAACTGCTCCCAGAAAAATTTGGAGATGCTTAGAAAAGCACATCTAAGCCACAGGACCAGCCAGGACATCTGCAGACACCAAGCCCAGAGATTTCAGAATGGCTCTATTCAAGGTGAGTTTAGCCCCATTTGTTCTTGGGTCATCACAATATTTAGTGTGTATAGACTCTGTCTGCCTTGGATTTGTAACACTAAACACCACAATTGGTTGGAGATGAAAAATGTATCACCACTGAATGACTAACGCTTGCAGCTATGGTGGGGAGGTAGTCCAGCCTTGGAATTTGAAAATAAAGGACTAGAACAGACTAAAATTTTGCCTCTAAAGAGAAGTACAAATACAGGATTTTACAGTATACTTTGAACATTAGTTATTTTTGCTTCCCTCCAGTTTGAATTTAAATCCTCCTAAATCTTTCCAAGCAGTACTAAGATTATGCCCTGGTGTCCTAGCCAGTAATCTCAGTTAAACGTGGATTTTAATAACCACCATTGTGCTGATAAATTAAAGTCAAGTATATCTGGTTACTGCATTCACCTGCTGAGTTTGGACTTGCAATGCTTAACACATTAACAAACTGTGTTTTAGGGGACTTCTCACACAGCTAGAAGAATCGTGCTCCGAGACCTAATCCTTACTTCAGCACTAACTTCATGGATGGTTAGTCTCTCTACTACTGTAAAATGAGGACAACACTCATTTAACCCACCTCACAGGTTTGCTGAGAGGAACTGCTGACATTTCTATGTGCTTTGAAAATGGAAGAAACTATATGAAGTGCTACATATCTGGCAAGAACACTGTAGAACCCCACATTTTACTCCTGGTTCAAGTGCTTCAGTTGCTTTGCCAAAGTAGCACAGCACAGTACAGTATACCTATCGAGGAGGGGGAGGACAGGAAAAAAAAGCAAGCCTTCATAAACAAGCAGAAAGAACGACCTTTTGAAATCGCAGTGTCAGGAGTAAAGAGACCTGAATGCCAGTCTTGTATCTGCCCAGGCTCATACAACAAATTGAGAAAAATTGCTTCATTACTTTCTGTTTCTGGCACCTAACCTACAAATTAAAGGATAACAGTCAAGTTTTCTCTTAGAACCCACAGGCTGCTTAACATTTGTAAAGCCCATCAGTCCAGAGTAGTTTGAGTAATTGATTTAAGTCACTGATTTAAACCATTTACTTTGAAGACCCTGGTCCTGCAAATATGTAAGTGTATTAATAGATCTATTACCATCAACAGGATTACACTCATGCAGGATTGTCTCCAATATCAAAGTTAAGACTGTATTTCTATTTAGATAACTCTTACCCATGCAAGTACTTTGTGAATTCAACATAAAGTTGCCCAAGTATTAGCAATAAAAGCAATCAGGACTTTCAGCAGATCAGCAGCTACTGTAAACTCAATTTATTTCTCAGTGCTGACAAGTTAAATACACAAATAGGAGAAGCTAAGACTCATCACATCCCTCAGCACCATTATTTGCAAAATCCTCTCAAGTGTCTCCTCTACATTTGATATATCTACCCTCACCTAAGAGAAAATAAGCTATATAGAAGTAAATTTTACTAGTATGTGGTACGTCACTACCCACATATTGTTACGCTGTTGAAGTGGGATATTTGCACAAGTGAGCCCCCATACACATCAAACACAAGCACTGATAGAAAAGCGTAATTTAATTAAAATCTCAGAGATTCACCATTGGCTAAACTTTTACAACCAATTTCCTAGATTCTGAACTCCTGTGGCTCTCCTGGGCACGCTATGAATGACCCCAGGAATGCATTCTTCAGCACAGACAGGCAATTAAGTGAGTACATCTGGTTAAAATAGTGTGAATTTCAGTATCTGAATGACAGCAGACACAACCTCAAAATGATAGAAGAGGAACTGATACATGCTTGACAATTTAATAAACAAAATATTGCCCCTCTTCCTCCAGCCTATAAAAGATGTCAGATACAGACAACTGCCTTGTTTGAAAGCTGTAGTATTTTATCAGTCAACACTAAAATTTACACAATTATGATCCATTCAAAGCAATCCTACCAGCAATACAATTAATTGCCCAGCAACATCTACTCATTTTTGTACTTTCATGAGCACACGCCATTTATGTGCATGGTTCAGTATCATTTATAAGCATGCTCCAGCATTTCCCATGACTGGAAGTCACGCTTATCAGGTGATTTTCCTCTCTTTTTCAATAGCCATGACAGCATTTGCTTTTCTCAAAAAGTAACTCTGAAAGCATTCTAACTGCTAATTTCTATCATGCCATTTTGTGAATACTTCAAGTTTGTATCTAGGTGAGTGACTAATTTGTAATATAACCCTGTCTCCTTCCTATTCCAAGACATTCACATTCCTTATCGAGGACTTGTTTTAAAAATGAGCCTTCCATCAGCCCAGATGGCTTATTCCACAACCATCAGCAACTTATTCACAGTTCTGAAATGTAATTTTAATCTGTATAAAATGCCTACTTTCTCTGTAACCTTTTTGGTGGCCACAGAACTTATAATTTATATATCACCCACACATTAAAATTATATACATTGCAGTTGTCTATAAACCCATGAGCCAGAGTAGCTTACTTCACTCATCTTTTTTTCTGCAACCCCTGCCTTTTTTCTTTAGTAATCTCTTCTTCCATTTTTAATCCATTTGATTTCTGCAGTTCCTAGCAAGGCCCAGAACAACAGGAAGATTTCTGAGAACAAGTCAGTAATTTAAAATTCAGTGGTACCCTCTTTCCCTTCCCTACAAAGGCTGATTTTTAAGGACATTTAATTACAGGCCTGAGCTCCTATATTCCAAGCCTAAACACAACCCCTGAAGGCTTACAATATTTGAGTCACAGCTGGAGCTGTGGTTACTATACAGTTTAAATATCAGCCTCTTTACTGTGCAATTTGTTTTGAAAATCAAATCAGATGCCGTGTCATAAACAAGTGCTAATTAAGTACTGAGCGGAAATTGGGCTTTTTTGTGCAAGAAGGGTTCTTAAATATCTGCATCTTCACTTCCATAAGAAAGGATAAATACAACAAGAATGATAATTATAAAAGGAAACCTACTCTGGTACTTGCAAGGCAGTACTGCTGCTTCACCATTTCAGCAGCTTCCATGTAAGAAAAAATGAGGGGAAAACCAAGTTGAGAGCTGTATGAAATATATATGTACTAAGGAGCTTATGAATCCGATCATATAACCCATAATGCTTCCTTCCTTTTCCCTCAGAGAGGACATTCACTCTGGGTTTCCATCACATACGATTTAAACAGGCAAGCTAAACCCATCTCTCTGTCACTGCACAGCAATAATGAAGCTACTTGTATGTTCAGCCCTTTTAAGTTATGATCGACACACAGTATTTATTTGACGATAACACTGCATTCATTAGCTATAACACCTTGTTTGATAAATATCAAGTGAAGAACAGGAATAATGCCTTTTAATACTCTGAAGGTTGCCTCTGAGTAACAATATTCACGACTCCATTAACAGGCTCTCGGCTACAAAGGCAGAATTAGATCTGTCAGTCACTGACATGGGAGGGCATGGCCAGTTGCACTGAAGATTGTCCAGTTGAGATGACTTCCACTGCAATGGAAAATATCCCCTGTGGCCTAGAATTTGTTAATGAGTTTGTATGCATTACAGCAATAAATTGCATTCCTACTATAGAATATATGGCCTAAACAGATACCTTACTCCACTGCCCAAAGCAACACTCAAAATAAGTCTCAGTTAGATCTGTGGACTCTTAATAATTCAACAAAACCAAAGACAGGATTTCAAACTCATATTATTAGGAGAAAAACCCACGAGCTCTCTAATTCTAAAGCCCTAAGCTGCCAATATTTTAAGTGTGCCCTTGGTGAGATTTTGTAGATGGAATGAACAAACACTGAGCCTGTTGACTGTTGGATCTCAGTGTGACACCAACTTCTTCAGAAGGACACAGTGCTCTCAAATAGTATGCTCTGACTGCCTGCAAACAGTGAATCACTGCATGCAGTGAACGTGGCTACTCTAGTTCTTTAGTGAATCTGTTTGGAGTATGTTGACCGAGATCTGCTCAAAACCAACTCCCACTGGAGAATGCCTATTTATACACCTTGACAGATAAAAAGACACAAGTTTTTAGATCCTCCAAGAGCAGCAGTTACCAGGAAAGCTACTTTCATAATATGAAATACCTGGATACCTTCTTAAGGGCTCACAAGAATACTAAGATACAGTATTCAAAACC